TGAGGAATGTTTTTCTTCCTGTAGCTCTTTGGTGTCATGTCCTGCTCTTGTGGCTGTGTCCATCTTACCTTGGTGGTTGCTTTAAAGTGAGAGTTGGCATTTGGGAYGATTTGCATGGCAGATGTTTGACAGGGAAGCCAGAATAAGCCAGAAAATTCCAAGATAAATATGGTTGTCATCAGTGAGGWAACTTTGTGGCACTTGTGGGGTTTAGTTTGTGGGTATGTTGTTAAGAGGGTACCCATTCCATGGCTGCCCTGTCAGGCTGCTCTGGGCTTTGCAGCAGTTGTGCACGTGAGGAGTTRCCCATTCCATCCCAATCATTCCTCCTTTAAAATGTGAGTATTTGAGGCGCATCTCTGGTGTTGATGGTGAGTGTCAAAGGGGACCGCACATTTGAACAATAATTTGGATTGGTGAGGTGTCTTCTGTGAGGTCACCCCATGGAACTCATGTTTTTGTGTTTGTGGGTGTGTTCTCAAGCATGGTTCCAAAGTATGTCAGCTCTTTCAGCCTGCTTTGGGCTTTGCCTCTCTGGCAGGTATRAGTGCCTGGACAGTTCCACTCCAAGTCTCAGCAGGACTGTTGCCCCTCAGAGWGTTGGCAGATGATGCAGTGTCTGAGGCACCACTTGCTTGTGCTACCAGTCWGAGGCACCTGGAGGCTGAGGGTTAAGGAATCTCCTGAGGTTCCAGAGCAGGAAATGTGAAGTTCAGCATCTGGACAGCAATAGCACTTGGACCTGGATCATGCTGTGGCTGAGAGTCTGCAAAATGGCATTGCTGAACAGGATCCTGTGGAGCTGGTGGAAAACAATGGAAGCACAAGGTTTCAACAGAGCTTTACTTCAAAGTTTATCAACAGTGTTCAAGATAGATTTCAGGAAATTTTTCTCATGAAGTCATAATAGGTGGCCCTTTGTCCCTTTAGAGCACTGTTTGGATCCCATGTGCATTGCTACAGACAGTCCTGTYCTTCACAGAGRAAGAAGCACAAGGGCTTGGTGAATGAAGACCAGTTGAAGGACACCAGATGCTGAAAGGCCTGGTGGATCTTTCCTAATAGGGAGACTGAGAGAGCTGAGAGACTCTGAGGAGACAAGGATGGATTGG